ATCTCATTATTGTAGGGTGTGTTCTTTTATCCTCCCTTTTTCAAACAACTAACATTATTCGCCATACCAGATCTAATAACTTAAGTCTTAATATTATATGAGGAACGTTAATTCAGATGTCACTAAGGCTGTCATGATAATATGACTGATATCCTTATAGACTTGATGAAAATAAGTTAAGTTCATGAATTAAACATCTTTTTGTAATGGTTCAGTGAAATAAGACTGAATCATACGCGATGTATTTTTGTTATACGGAGCAAACTCAAGCCAAGAAAAATGGTTACTATGATCATTGAATTGTTTATCACAACTCGTCAATGCTAACAATGATCAGGGTAGATAAATTAAGAAATCACATTGGGTAAACAAATATAACATTTTGCTTGACTATTTCTATGTTGTTCCTTCTTTCTATTCAAATTTATATATAACTATGCCTGATGAAACCTAGTTAGCAATATAGGTTATACTAAAAAGCTGGCTATCAATTTGTAATGAACCAGGCTAGAAAGCTATTGAATTTGGTAGTTCCCATGTAAGCTAAGCAGCTATATCGTTCTGTTAACCTCTGTAGTACTTTGATACTCGTAGTTGGGCGATTATTGTCTAACATTTGTTGAACTTTAAACCAGCATCCAAAATAAAACATAAAGATGAAGATGAAATGACCGACAACTAGACTGAAAATTCAAAATGCAGTAATGATATATGTAGAGTGAAGGCTCATCAAACACTGATCGTATGGAACCGATAAAAATACGTTATTATACATCTATTTCTACTTAAATCGAAACAAATGTTAACCATACTGTTTTCAACTAACCATTGAAGTTTATGTGTGGATAACAATAGTGATGTCCGCTAATTTATTATTCCATAAGTGTGATGTTTGAATGAACTAATGATTCCTTTGTACTTGTTAAATGCTTGATTTCGAATTCTAAATACAGTACATTCGTTTGTTGTTATCTAGTACTTCTTGATCCATTTGCGGGATTCTTAGTTTATACTATAATTCAAATACTCCTGTAGCGGTAAATAAATCCTCAAAATAAATAGCTCTGTAAGTTTTCGACATTGGATGCTGACCAGATTAGTTTTAGTGGACTCACCTAGCTGAAGGCGCTCGGTCATGCATCCGCACCAGATCACGTGTGGGAACGTCGTACTCAACATCTACTGCAATCGCTAGCCAGACTAGATCAGACAATTCCGATATATTTGCAATCGTCAAACACAACTTCTGATCTCCTCGATTCTGTCTTTTGATTTCTCTTGGTGGGTACGAGTTATATTGGAAGGTGTTACTGGTAAAAGCGTTGTCGAACCTGTGCCATCTTCACTCCTAATTATTGGCGTCGCGATGGAGCCTGTGATGAAACGGTTGGATATGCATTCAGATTTTGATGCTTCTGAGGATTACTTTGAAAGGGTCGAAATCTGGGCTGTTACCAAAAAAGATATTGAGGATGTTAATATTGTGGCACATTTTCTCACTTTCATCGTTTTATATTTGGTCGTCGCAATTGTTGTGCCGAAAAAAGCCTCTGATCACTTATACTAGGAACGAGGGACTTCTGCGATTCCCACGATGCGAAAGTAAGAACAGAAAGACTGGTATAAGTGATGATTTATTAGCCCCAAACACGACAACGAACGATGATCGAAACAGTTTAAAATACACTCATTTACATATTGATTCGTACACTCATTTTGACTAATAATTAGGATGAAATCACATGTATGAGGAATACTTAGAGTTATAACAAATCACATATAGAGCATAGTTCATGTCAATTGAATACAAGAATATCGTTTATTATACTGAAGAAAATATTATACGACAAAAGAAAACAATTACTACAGTGAATGATCCTCATATTGAATTAGAAGGGAAGTAATGTTGAATAAAAGTCATGATGAGTAAATTAATCGAAAATTGTTTTTTCCTTCCATCACATCAAATCGGAAAAGAAACTTACACCTTATTAGAAACTCGAGCTTCACCAGAAAAGCACATTTCGCTTCCTTATGCAACTCTCAAGGGACTACTGCTGGACTATGTTAAGTATACAAATTTTGAATGTGGTAAAGGAGGAAGATTTCGTAAAATGATTTATGAGGAAATAAAAATTCCACTATATTTTGTCATCACAACCCAGTGCATACTCAAAATTATGCAGATAATTCATTGAAGAGTTGAGATACACATTACGAAGATAGGCACAAGTTTGGTCAATGTTTGTCCTGTGGCAGCTGTAAGACCAATTTGAATGTTTTTTGTGTTGGTGAAAATCCCTCCATGTATATACTTACACTTTGTTCCTATTGATCCCCTTAGTTGTACACTGTTGTCTTTTGATTACATTTGAATTGTTAATACTTGTATTTTTATTACAGTTTTTGCTTTTCTCACGCATTCACTAAGTTTGTGTTTCTTACCGAACTGCATCTGTGTTGTTTTACTTGACACTTGTTCTTAGCGGTAGCCATATTGATTTGCTCCTCCTTTTGTGTGTGTTCTATCCAGTCAGGATAGAATAACGTTCATTTGTTGTGACTGGTAATTTTGCCTCATCTTTCATCAACTCCTTTATTTATTGTAATTTAGATTTTATTGATTGAACAATTATTGGTTGAATAGCCGGGTGGTAATATTTGTTTAGGTAACGATTTACATTTAAATTAATGATGAGTTATAGAACCGCTATTTACCCGATTACTTGTTTTGATTTTGACGGGCAAGGGCGCGTGTCTAACGTACCTAGAGGGCTATTCATCTATCCAAATCGTAGTTTGGATTCTACACCAGCTTCCACTCTTTTAATTCATGTAAATTTCGTAATTCTAAGTGCTTTAAATATGGTGATACTGGACATATTCAGTCAGTTTGTAATACTAATGTTCATCTAGCTGCAACTAATATTAAGTCTTGTAATTCTGGTTCCATTAAATTGAGTATTTATAGTGATCATTTATCCTTATCAACGATTTCAAAAGACAGTGTAGAGTCAAATATACTAATTCTAGTCAGTGTGGCAGTATATTTATATATCTTGTAGTTTGAGGAGGATTTTTACTCTGAAGAGACGATCTCGAGCGGATTTTCATAGAGGGCACAGGTATTTTCTAAAGGGACTTACAGTTATGGAGGAATAGGCTGTAGATAACGCGCTAAAACTTGACCTGCCGAATTGTGATGTCATAAACGTTCTGCTTCATTTGACAAAAAACACTTGTGCCGTCTATGGAAATCCACTTGAGATTGTCTCTCCAGAGCGCAATCTCAGGTTTGCAGCTTCGGAGAGCTTAGGCACCACTCATACTACATGGGGGATGCCGTCAAGGCGAACGCGACTCTCTGCTTTATGCGAAGACAACTTAGCACAATCACTCCACAGTTGTTCCTAACACTGTTAAACACCTACTGACAGCCACACGTCGAAGTTCACAATATTGTTGCGCTTCCTCTCCTCGAGTGAGATCTAAATCTCTCAGACCAAGTACAGAGGCGGAAAACCAAGTGTGTGATATTCCTAGGACGTAAATCTTACACGAACAGACTTCGACCCTTGGAACTATTCGCGTTGAGCCGTAGGTGAACATGATGTGACTTGATGGTGGCAGAAAACAAGTTTTAAGTTAGCTAATCCACCCTAACACGAGCACATTACCAGAACATAATTACTACGCTCCTCAAGGCTACCCTGGGGAGATTGTACATCAAAGAGCGAACACCCAGGTAAGCTCTCACGTTTTCCCATCAAGAGTTGTCGTCTCTTGGAATGCTCACTCAGCCAAAATGACTACAGCCTCATCAGTGTATATATTTAAGTGGGGACTCGACCAACTCCTACCCATTCATGGATAACCGTTCCCCTTACAAGCCAGCTATGTCTGATGCATGTCTCACAAATACCCAAAATAAATAGCCCTGAAGTTCCCGACAATGATGTTGACCTCATTACTTTTATTGGACATACCTAGCCGAAAGTGCACGGTCAGGCATCTGTAGCTGTAAATCAATCCCGAAAATAAATAGCTCTGTAAGTCTTAGTTATTGGATTCTGACCACATTAGTTATATTGAACTCACCTAGCTGAAGGCGCTCGATCATGCATCTGCACCAGATCACGAGTAGGAACGCCGTGCTCAACAACCCCTGCAATCGCTAGCCAGATTATATCAGACGTTCCTCGATTTATTGATAGCCTACCAAATATATCTTCGAACCTCCTCGCTCCTGTCTTTTGATCTCACTTGGTGGGTACGACTCATAGTAGAAGGTGTTACCGGCTAAAGCGTTGTCAATCTCCGAATACCTGTGGCATCTTCAGTATCAAATCGCGACTGGGTACGACATGCTATGCATGCTTCGCAACTGTTGGCCATTTTAGACTGAACGCTTGCCGATACATCGATGGTCTTCCAAATATGTCTTCGAACCACTTCGTTTCTGACTTCTGTTTTGACTGGGTTAGTACACTTCGATTATAAATGTGTTAATAGTGAAGGCGTTGTCAAACTCCAAATACCTTTGACATCTTTAACACAGTTATCATCACTGCATATCGGTAACTTCTTCCTATTTCTCTGATTAAAATAACCGTATCTTCCCGCATTCTCTTGCTTCCGCTTTCCTTCATATTACCAATTAAGCAAATTACTTAATAAATCTCAAAATAATCATTTTGTCTTAGTACTCGTATCATCGCTTTATTATTTCCACATGGCGATCAAGCGGCCTCCTGCCTGGTACTTTGATAACCACTGATATAAGAAAACACCTTTCAAACTGCAAGATATACAAATATACAGCCACACTGACTAGAACTAATACACTTGAGTGCCTAGAACACCATCAATCAAACAGTACCAAATATCTGGAATCGTACTAAAACAACAAGAACCGAGTGCAAAGAACTTTATCGGCTTACATAAACTTGTAACAAAAGTGTTGAAAATTCGCAAGATACTATTATTCTTGTCGTTTTAAAATGTTAAAATTGAAGGACAAGGTTGGTGAAAGGTTGGCGGGAATATGTGCAATTCAGTTTTGTACATGGGTAACTAATTACTTGTAGTTTTTTTCAAATATTTTTCTTGATTTAATGCTTCTATGACTGATGATTGTTGTTAATTGGTTTCGTTAATGGCCTCAAGTGCATTTTGTGCGCTTGCTTTGTCAGTGACTTACCTTTCCTGTCGTTCTTTCACAACCCTCATTCTACTCCGCATAATGCTCCAGTACGCGGAGTACCTTCAGGCTAACGCGAACCTCTACAAAGCCAAAATAAGAAGAAGTGACATTTATGGGTTACGAATAAGTATCTGAGCGGCCTGGTGTGTCAAATTATAATTTTTGATCGACCTTTGAGCAACGCTTAAGTGATATTAATAGTGTAAATCTAGTAACTAGGACTAAATGAGGGTTGTAAAGCAGTGTGATAAATTTGAATTATGATTCGCAGTTGATGGTTATGGTAGGGAATTATGAGAGATTTACTTAACTGACTGTATGGGTAATTATTATAATGGAATGAGAAGTGAGAGCACAACCACAATCTCCGTACTTTGGGGAGATCGTTATCGAAAAATTTTTTAGGGTTTTTTGCTGTTTCCCCTAAATTTCCCCAAACTTCGGGGGAAAACTACCACATTTCTTACGACTTTGGGGAAAACCCAAGTTCCCCAGAACGGAAAGATTGGGATGAGAACTGACAATAAAGGAAGGGAAGGCTAGACTCTAATTTATAGACGACCTTTGAACGAATTTTAAGTGACCCTGAGAATATTAGCCAATCAGCGAACAGTAAGTATAGAGTAAAAATGTCATACAAAACCAAAGAAATATCGTGGATACACTTATACGTGGTTCAAAAACTTGTCAAGGTTAGAAAGAGGTTCAGAGGTTCTAAAATCGTAATGCATGAAGTAGAGAAAATCGTCCACACGTCTACAGAATAGTCGGTATCTGGAACCATGATAAAGTCTCAAAAACTTTTTCACCCTCGACCACATAGCTTCAGTATTGTTTATGTGCACTCCGGTTGTCGAGTACACAAAATGTCACTTGTGGATAATGACACGATGCACATAACCTAACCTATGTATGAGTCTGTACGTTCTCCAAACATCCGTATATATTGTAGTGACTGGTTGCAGCCAGTGTTACTTGTGCTTTTATTATCCAGTTCGCAATAATTGTTGTAATTTGCCTTAGTTAGGAATTATATATGGGGTTTTCATCACGAACTGACATCATTTATAATGCCAGAAATCTGTTTAGCCAAATAGATGAAATTAGTTTGTTTATAAAGATCAGTAGACGTTAATGTTGAGATAAAATTAAGTAAAATTATTTAACATTGAGGGGTCAGGATGCATCGCGAGGAATTACAGCAGTAAGATTGGTAATTACAAGTCTTCTCTCACAATTGTGAAACTTCGTTGATAGGTTTTTCTTCAGGGTTTGTATCAGTAAGTGCAATAGTGGGCTTAAGGTAAGGATTAGGTTGACATGAGCTGCTGAGTATGCATCTACTCACATCTTGAAATCCACAATTTTGTTGTGCTCTTTTTATTTCTATTTGATCATATAAATAGTGGTAGAAAAGGGCACCAAATACATATGCGCCACACAAGTCACTTGATTTATGTGTGGGCTATGATACTGTCCAGGTGCCCAAAACAAAGCAAGCAGTTTTCTTGGGGGACCACACTCCGAGCCTTTAACTGAAAAATCTGACCCACAAGGAAGTGAAGCAACGTAAACAGATGCGGTCCCATGGTAACTGGTGACCAACAGTAGGTTCATACTCCATTTGTTCCCTCAGTATACTGGATCACATATACACCTTTGGTTTGGAATGAGGGTTTTCCAACTCCCCTAGGTGGACCCCCCATATGCACCAACCCGGTTAAATTGCCGGATTTTCGCTTTTCGTAAACAGCACCTGTGGCGCGAGAATGCATTAAGTAGGACTTCCTTGTCAGTAGTTGAATGCACGTGGCCGTGTGAGAGCAATTCGAAAGGGAGATCTGACTCTCCCCACCGTTGGCCGTATCAGGGTATGTGGAGGCTCAGTTACACACCTAAAATGTATGTAAATTTTTCGCAACAAATGCGGAAGCGTTCAACAAAATGAGATAGGATCAATCAGAAAACTCTGTCAAGGTAAACCCTATCATCTGAATCTATTTTCCCTAGCTTATAAACGAATAAAAAGCCACCTAACCATGGTTTGTATCATACTGAATAACTCATGTCACCTCACCCCCCACTTTAACCCTACTATTATACTCCACGAAATAATCTAAAGAATCATTCATCTGAGAGTGAATACACAGGTTTGATCGCATTTCTTTCACTCTCATTATCCTTTCTAAAACGGTCTCGTCCAACGTGGTCATAGCCAATTCAGTACATATTTTATGAAAGAGGATGAAAAATCACGTACAAAAGCACGGATTATCGTTTCACCAAGATTCGACTAAGTACAAATAAGTCGAATTGTAGAAACATTTAGTCTCATGTTTGATTGTTGTTCTCAATATCCCTAATGAAGATCAATAAATAAACCAACTCTGAAAAATTCTTTTGAAAATGTCTTGTCCAAATTAATTCACCTCATAATTTTGATTTTCAAAAACTATTTTGCAGATTTTGTATACTATGTCTATATTTTTACGGATTAAACGTCCAAATACTGATTGTCCTAGTCAAATCTGTGAAGCACAAAATCTTATAAAACGTCCTAAAGCTGACTTACAATCAATTCAATTTAAATATATCGGTAGTCAAACTTCAAATCGCTCATTAATTGGTAAAATCGACAAAGTATATACTTCCTCCGAAAAGTTATGTAAGATTATATGTAACACTTCAGATGCTACTGTTGTCGGAGAAAATCAAACAGTCAAGTGTCAGGTGAGTACCCTACATCTTTTTTTGTGCATGTCAGTGAAAAATAATGTAACCCATCTCACCAAATGCAGGTTTATGTGTACTTGACTGTGAACCAAATTTATTTTGTTTGAAGGTTGGTGGTAATACTCAGCTATCCAAACCGAATTAAACGAAATAGGGTTCATAACTATAGTGGTTGATAGATGAACACATTAGCCATATTATGCCATCGTTTCTTGTGCACATATTATTTCTTATTGGACATTATCAGTTCCTTATAGTTAGCTATGTGCTTCGCAACGTATTAACATCATGTTATGGTAGTAATTAGTTTTACTGTTAGATTAATACAACTCAAACTGATTTACTTCGTAATTAAGTCTTAGAAATGTATTTAAGGTAATCCTGTGAAATCTGCTCTCGCATTTCCAGTAACTTAATAGTATTATGCTCTTTGCAGGACTTAAATGTCATAAAACTACAACTAACCAATTATTCAATGTTATTTATTTCCAGTATAGTTCGTAATGAATGTTATTGCTGTCAGTTATCCGACTGTAGATAGTATTGTAACTTGGTCGTCGAGTTCGAATATTGTGATGAACCAGTCCAGCTATATTGACCAGAACACTTTTTCATTTAAATCCTGCCATGCTCGGAATCCAGGTCGCTTGGATAGTGGTAAGAATGAAATCGGCAAACTAAAAGTTTGAGCTCGAAGTCTCACTGTTGGCTATAAGGTATCTCCCTTAAGCAACCAGGGTCATCCACAGCTAATTTGCTTTTCTACATCAAAACGGAACGGCCACAATAGATTAATCCTCGAAGCAGATCGTTTCACTTTGTCACATATTTCCGTTGCCCATGGTAAGGTCTTAAAGTGTGGGGCTAACTCATCGTAATAAACTTACGCGTCTGTTTGATCTCAAGGAGTTGCTATTTGAGCTCTACGGTCCCATTCTCAGGCTATTAAGATAACAAATAACTCAGTTCCTTCTTCAGCTACTCCAAACGAAGTATTCCTGCACAGTATGGGCGTCCGGTAGGTGGTAACCGTCATCATATTTCCAGCTTCAACCCTCAAATAATAAATAGTAGAGTCATGGTTTAGAGTATATGTGTATATATGTACTTGGTGGGATAAATGACACTATAGCTTTAATTTAGTGTCAAATTATCCACATCCTCTACCTTGTTCTTAGGTTGACTCACAAATTTTTTTGGATGCAGATTGTTGTTTTTGAACTGTCAAAATAGTATTGGTTTGTAAAATTCAATATCATCCATAGTATCCTCATACAATGCTGGTACGCCTCATAAACTAACGAATAAATCAATCCGAATATACTAGTTTCATTGTATCCTTGATACACCTGTACACTATGTAAATATTTTGCAACTTTGACTTCAATAAAGTGAATAAAACTACCTTTGTCTTCTTGTTGCGTACTGCGCTAATTAAACTGAGAAGTTCAGTTTATTAGTGTTAACTTTGATAATGATGACTTTGATAGAATTTAAGTGAATCAATTATACATCAGTTACAATAATTAGAATTTATAAACTGAGTAATTGCCACTTAACATAAATTATGGATAATGTTCACATTGAATAATTTCATGTAACGGAATTTCACCCAAATCAATATTGATTCCTTTCCTCATATTATTATCAATTTTTTATTATTTGAACACAGATATTGGTACAAGGACGCACCAAATATATATGCGCCACACAAATCTCATTAGATTTATGCTAGGGCTATGATACTGCCTGGGCGCCCAAACCGAAGCAGGTGGTTTTCTTAGGGGGTCACACTCGGAGCCTTCGACCTAAAGGTCTGATCTACAAGGCAGTGGACATTGTACATCCTTTAACAATCCATGAATTTCTTTTTGTTCTAGGATAAGTCTTATGTGTTTGAGATCTGTTTCAACTTTGTTTTATCTTTTATGATCATCTTTGTCAAAGTTATATCCTTTTTATTATCACAGGAATTATCTATAGTTTGTAATTTATAAAGAAAAATAGTTTTTTCGAATAGACTAAAAGGTTAGTGTGAAATGGTTCCGTGAACATTATGAACAATCGATTTTCAGTTTAGTTACAGTTTAATTTGTTTATGTTTGGTTTTATTTTGAAAAAGTGTACGTTAAATCTTGAATTGTACATTTCATTTGACTATAGCGTGGTGTTTATACTGTTTTTCCGGTAAATACGCGAACTGAGGTCATAAAAAAACCTAAAGTAGGGAATATCAATGAATTCTCTTCACTTATTTTTATCATACACCTCATTTCCATTATTCAAACATCTCTCAGGCTCTTTATCTGTCACAAAGATCACTAACTTTTAGTCTGAGACATGTTGGTAGATGCAGACTACTTGGTTGGGGTCTGCGTGACTATCGTAACTAATGGTTGGAGACTGTGGGTGACATGGCTCAGAATCCACCACAATGTAGTAGGTGTATACACTCTCTGTCTTCCTTTAAACTACGAGATTAAAATTGATTTACATCTTTCTATGAACTAATTCTTTCTCCCTGTATTATATCGTTATATGCAATCTTTTACTACTGTTGCAGTAACTACTATGAATTTGGTGTTCATCTTGTTGTATTAGTGAGGTATGGCAACTTGGCCGGATGCATATATGTGCTTGGTCCTACATTGTAGCTGACTGACTAATTTAATAGCCCAGTTCGCTTGTTTATTGGAAATTTCATGGGTGTATGAAAAAGTTCTTTATGTCTTTTAATTGTTGTTAAAGGTTCGTTTAATTATGTATACCATCTTCGCATGTTGTGACAAAACTTCAATTAATGCAGCATTTTATATTTTAATGTATTAAACATAGTTTGTTGAGTTGATTCACTGAAGAATGTTCTAATATCCAATGTTTATTTAAAAAATCCCATGAGAATCGACCAAATATGACACTTTTAAATGGCTGATTTGCGGTTCTGAAACCTCATCCTCAATAAAAAAGGTTTCCTTATTTCTTTTTCGTTCTATTGATTATGAGATGGGTCAACAAGTTAGAGTAGATGTACGTATTTCTGTTTTGAATGTTTTGTGTTAATGTGTCCAAGTTTACTTCATTTTTAAATTAGTGGTGTTGTGATATAATTCTCTCTTATTACACAACCCAGTTATTCCTATTAGACAATATGTCTAACTGTGCGATAATGCCCAAGGCATGCAATTCGCGCTTAATCAGTTGGCAATCAGTGTCCGTAGATATGGTATGTGCTTTGCACCGTCGAAGTGCAAAGTACTTCTACAAGACTGGCAGGATTCTAATCCTGTACTCACTCTGGATGGTGAGCAGATAGAAGTAGTCGAGAAGTTCGTGCCTCTGCATAAGCGCTGGTGGTGGCGTGAGTGATGAGACCGATGCACGTATAGTGAAAGCCAGAGCGGCTTATGCCAATGTGGGCCATCTTTGGCGTCTTCGTGATGTAAGTCTGGCCGTAAAAGGTCGGATCTGCAACGCGTTGGTGAGAGCAGTTTTGCTCTATGCTTGTGAAACCTGGTCTCTCCGAGTTGAGGACGTTAGACGACTCTCTGTGTTCGATCATCGCTGTCTCCGAAGGATTGCTGACATTCAGTGGCAACACCATGTCAGTAATGCAGAGGTTCGGCATCGTGTGTTCGGGCACAGAGATGATAATTCAATTGGTGTCACCATCTTGAAACACCGACTTCGGTGGCTTGGACATGTTCTCCGAATGTCGTCCCAGAGAATTCCACGTCGTGCATTATTTGCCGACTCTGAGACTGGTTGGAAGAAGCGGAGAGGTGGTCAGTGCATGACATGGTGTCGTGGCATGAAAGAAAGCTGCAAAGGACTGGCGTGTGTTGGTTCTTCACGACTCCCTGGTTGGGGTCTGAGAGATGGTGCTACACAGTGGCTAGAGACGTTATCAGATATGGCTCAGAATAGAAGCCAGTGGCGATCTTGATGTAACCTTCTTTTACTTTCTTCGTAAAAAGTGGCTGTATCTTCCTTAACTGATAGATTTCTTCTGATTGTACCTTTTCGTTTCCCCCATTATTATTATTACGCTACCTTACCTTATTCTGTTCGTTATTGTCGTTTTTCTTTACGGTCCTCACCTTTTTTCCTTCTGCTCTTCAAATTCCCATTGTTTTGTGTGGCGCATATATTTTTGGTGCCCTCTTCCACCAATATTTATGTGTTCAAATAAATAAATAAATATTCTTATTACTCAGTATTCTTGGACGCCAATTCACTCGACAAATCCCCAAATCAGAACACAGTTGAACAGGAAAGAGATCATATTCCAATTAATAAGGTTAGATGGAAGTAAGAAGCACTATAGGAGAAACGTTAGTATATTGATAGTTTTTTTATATGAGAAGATTCTAAAGTGTTCTTCAAGTATCGACTAGCGTTGATTGGATAAGAATTAGTTAATCAGCGTGCACCAATGCAATTGTGCATGAAACATGCATATTTTAATCCAATCTATGTCCTGTTAACATGTTGTTTTTTACACTTCGAGCTAAATAACTGGCTTTAAAATAAATTACACATTCTGTAGTTTGTATATGTTTCAGAAATAATTATACGTTGATACCTCAGTAATCAGATAAACAGGTTAACTGATGTTCTGCACATGAACTTGTATGTCTGAGGTTATCTACACTGTTGTCAGTCTTCATTCACTTTGTTGTATCCAGTACTTATATCTATTTCTCCCGTTTATGTAGTGAATGAGTGTTGTATATTCGAGTGTAATTATCATTAAAAAATCTCATTCTCAGTGTTTACTTTTATTATGAATGTATTTTTCACGCGATGTCGGGTTGCGCTACACTTAATTACAACAGATAAGTGTATGGATAACTCCAGCCTCTTGAATGAAAATTGCACATCGACATCCAGCTTTCACTCCATTAAATAAATGAGAAAAATGAAGTGATCAGAGGGGTTGTATATAACATTGAGATGTTATAGATAACCTTATCCAAACTGTACGACAGTTAACGTGTGTTTTAACAGTAAAATAATGACTGAATTAGATTACATAGTCAGTAAATACATGTAGAGTAAGTGTAATCATACTATTCTGTATTCTATTGAGGTCAAGCTTGATCATATATTTCTTCATATACATATATATGACCAACGTTCATCTTACTTTACTAAGCATGTACTAACTTGTTACAATGTTGTGTTCTATAGACACTAGTTTTAAAATGTGATTCCTATGGAAGTCAACTTTTTTTTTGTTTATAAAATTATTCCACAAATATCAGATTAGTGTATTCTTTAATGATTCTTGTTTAGGATTAGATATCTTTGAAAGCTTTATTATTGTAATTCTCATTTTCATTCTGATTGTTCAACATTCATTCTCAACTGATGGGATTATTATTATTCAGTTGTAAGGATTTGAATCTTTCCATTATTGTTGTTAAAGTCTGGAATTGATCATTGTCCTTTGGTTTATGTACGTCATATATAGATTGTCTTGGTATTGTCATTAATCACAGGCAATCTTTTAAGAAGAGATGAACTCAGTAGCTAAATAAATGACGACTTGGTCTTTAAATCGAAAGATACTGGTTCTAGGTCCCAGAGCAAGCATCAACACTGGGGTTCAGGTACATCCAGCTAGTGACGAGTCCAAAATAAAATGAAACGCATGTCTTTAATTCCATTGCTATTCACTATCCATCTCTGCTTAGAAACATATGCTATCTATAGATTCGACGTTGATATACTGGATAAGTATAAATGATTTGATGTGAGTGCTTGAACGAATAGATACCGAATTCGAATCCAAGTCTAGACAGTTGGGTAAGATCAATGGCCGCCCCCCTCATAAATGTTGTTCTTTCGAAATCCTGTACGTGAATACATGGTGAATCAATTACATTAAACCTTGCATAAAGAAAGGACAATTATCATAGCAGAATATTGGTAACGTATAGAAAGTATGTATACTTATTTCATTTTGATAGTTAATACTATGGTTTTAGGTTTTTAGTAGCTGAAGAGAACTAACAAAGTAAATGAATTCACGTTATCCTGTTATGAAATTTGTTCTTTCTTTATTCAAGTTAATAAATCTGTTTCTCTTAATGCTTCGACGTCTAAGCAAAAGAACACAATCCTGTTATATTCTTTCTTGTTGCTCCAATAATGAGGTCGGACGTGGTAATCAAATTGGCAGACATTGTGAATCCACTTCAATAGAATAATTTACTCATCATGTATAGTTTTCATTCCACTGGAAGTTTAAACAAAATCTCTAGTTAAATTGAAGTCATTTATTCTGATAACATTTCCGACTAAACATAATGGCTACGAGGCATTCAAAATTCCAAATACTGAATGTACAGGTTCAAACCCCACTTCACGTACTTCGGCTCATACAATCGTATAGTATACTAATGCAACTAATCTTCAAATAGAGAGAACTATCATACTCATTGCCTTATCGCGGCGACGGTGTTGTTTACGAAATTGAGAGAACGAAAAGCGAATGTCCGGCGATTTAACCGGGTTGGTGGACACGGAGAGTCCACCTAGGGGAGTTAGAAAATTTTCATTCCAAACCAATGGTGCACATAGGCTCCAGTATCCTGCGGGAACAAATGGCGTATGAACCAATCGTTGGTCACCGATTACCATAGGACTGCATCTCCTGAAGTTGCTTCACCGTGTGTGGTACCTTAGCCCTTACACAAATCGAATGATTTACAAAGTTAAATTATTATATCATATCCCTTTTTTTCTTAAACATTTTCTTCTGTTTAATAGATCAAAGTGAATAATCTAAAACGTCCTGCTATTACTGCGGAAATTTTCAATGATTTCAATAATCTTAATATTGATTCATCCAAAGTATCTATTGGTCCAAATCCTCCAAAAATTTTTAAAATTATTGAATTAACCCCTGAATCAACTAATGAATCAAATGTATTGTCAAAATTAACTGAAACGAATCATTCAAATAATGATATACATCAAACGAATTTCATTTATGATATATACAAAATGATATCACCATCCTCATCATCCTCTTCATTATCGGATCCAAAATGTTTATCATTAGAACAAACAATATGGTGTACAAATGATCAATTAATTAGAAATGCTGATAATTATATACATGATGAATATAGTTGGGGATTAAATGAAGATTCTTATGATTATACTAATGTTGATGATGATGATGATTCAAATAGTGAATCAAATTGGCGTAATGATTATCCTGATGAACAAGACAGTAGTAGTAGTAGTTCATCTAATCATTCAAATTCACCATATTCTTCATCGAATAGTAGTTGCAATAATGAAGATTCAGATTATTATTATTAACTTTTTTTCTTGCTGTATGCATTTTGTTTTTCTCTGAAAATACATTTGTATCAAGTTGTCTACTTTTATGGTGTGCGCTACTTATATACACATAAGTAGTATATAACGATAGTCAGCAGTAGATTGGATTTCGAAGAGGAAAGAACGGGAACGGAAAGCAATTGGCATGAAAATGCAGGAACAATGAAACCTTAGACGATGGATTGATATATTGTAAAATAAACAGTCAGGTTTGAGACAATGGAGTGATGTTTTGTAAATTAATTATTAACTGTATTGTTCTCAGATTTAAGTGAGATATTCTGTAATTTCGTGTTCAAATACATTCGATTGTTTCCACTCATTTTCTTGTTCACTACATTTGGTGTTGATTCCAACCAAGAGAGAGAAAGAGTGTTTGTTCTGCGGACGCCGTTGCAGGACTTGAGCTGAGGTACCGGCTTGGGCAGGTGGCGTCGAGTGGAGTGTTCTCGCGGAGCGGCGTTGGCTGTAGCGGGTGCTGTCGACGGAGAGGAGCGGTGTGACGTGCGGCTGCTGGGCGGAAATCGGATGTAGGTAGCTCAGCAGGTCGGTGGAGCACGGGTGTTAAGCGTCCCAGGTGCCGGGTGGATATCGGACGTTGGTGCCCTGGCAGATCGACGGAGTTATGGACGTCAGCGTGCCGCAGACTCGACATTTTTACGGAGGGCTTGGCGCAGACTGCAAAAAAGAGGAAAGTGGCATGGCGAGCAGAACCACCACAAGAATGACTGCTTTAAAGGGGGAACGAGTGTGGTGCACTACTTATATACACGTAAGTAGTATATAACGATAGTCAGGAACAGAATGTATTTCAATAGAAGATCGACAAGGAAAGATCGGGAACGGAAAGCATTAGGTATGAAAATGCAGGAACAATGAAATCTGAGACGATGGACTGGTATTTGCAAAAGGAACAGTCAAGTTTGAGACAATCAATTGATCTTTTTCAAATTACGTATTCACTGTATTGTTTTCAGATTTAAGTGAGATATTCTGTAATTTCGTGTCCAAATACATTCGATTGTCCCCACTCGTTTTCTTGTTCACTACACTTTTACAATCCAGTTTTCTTCAATTATAATTACTATCGTATTTTGTGTGACATTGGCATACTGCCTAGATGTTTAGGTCAGAGCAGGTAGTTTTGTTATAGAATCACTTTCTGAACGTTTTATACCTGTAGGTCTAATCCACGTAATCGTGAAGTGACGTTAGGAGATGCAATCTTGTGTTAATCAGTGACAAAAATAAGTTCGTACCCGATCATATGTATGTCTGATCTATTGCTTGTGTATTTTGATACCACCGAGTAAACGATACCGAGCTGGGGCATCGGATGCTATATAAAGATTGGGAATCGGTTGATAAGGTAGTGGAATCATTAATTGAAGTGGTTGATACATGTGTTATGTATGTCCAGTCACCGCCCATCTCGACGGGTGATGTCGGGTGTAGGAGTAAGTTGGCAAAATGTTAGGAATAGCGAATACATGGCACCAGCCCATAAAGTCACTGATAGTTGAACTGAAACGTGTTAACAGGCTATATACTACGTGGTTGAGGTCTGCATGATTATCGTAACTAGTGGTGAAATTGCTCAGAATCATCGTCAACCGCACAGGTGCATTCACTCTTTGTCTTCCTTTGAAGCATGAGTCCCGAAATCTAATGCCTTTTTAATACCTAATCTTTTCTACTGATACTGTTACCATACCTGCTATTCTTGAATTTGTTTCTTAAAATTTTTTTATCTCGCTGTGCTAATGTCGTTTGGCAACTTAAACCGACGCACGTATGTGTCACGTTCTACGTTGTCTATAAGTAAATAACACCCATAAAGACCATGAGTAACCGAGCTTCACCAGTGTCTTGGAACTTGCAGTCACTTCTGGGTCATCAAGACCACACCTATCCAACATTTCTTTCCAGGTACTTCAGGAAGAAATATCACTTAACTTAAATCATTGTTTTGAGTAGTTCATGTGTATGTTACGTGTTCTTATTCTATTCACAATACTGATTAGTATAGAAGTAGGTTTGAAAACTGTTACAAGTTAGCAGATGAAGATATCATCAATTCACGATGTCATTGTTTACTGATCTAAACCTTATCGATGGTTACAAAATTCTGGTTAACATACACTTGTTAATAATTTGTGGTTTAGAATATTAAGTGATATGTCCTGATACATTTGCTTTCCTAATTTTTCATTCTTCGATGTACATTGTTCTTTTTTGGACTGTACTTCTCATGCGTAGATTTCTGCAACCTTAGTGCATTTTAATAGTTGAATTCATGGGTCGATTGAAGCTGGACCACCATGGAAAACCTAGAAGCACTGGACGACCGTTTTATCCCAGTATGGAACTCTTCAGCAGAGCACATCCACGATCCCGCCTCGCGAGACTCGAACCCAGGACCGATTGGTCTAGAGCGCGAACGCTTAACCTCTAGACCACTGAACCGGTATCCAACGGTGTTAATGTCTAACTTCAACCAATCCACGAAATTGAGCCACCGTCCACTATTGTCATCAGTAAGTTACTATCTCACAACAGATCCGGTTGAACTCCACTGGTCACGGCTTCTTAGTAGAACTTAGTGATATGAAAAAAACAACGATTTCCCCATAAAAATATTTTTCTATGGAAATGTTTTACAATGAAAAAAAAATAGTTATCATATTGTGGAATACTTTTATAAGACCAAATAATTGTATTTGAGTTTGTGCAACCGATTAGCTGATTAAATAGCCAATTTAACTTGAGGCATTTCAGCAATGATTGCACGAAGTGCTGATAAACCATAAAATGATACACAAAGTCTACCGATTTCATTTAAACTCTCTGTTTCACCATCGACAGTTTTAGCAGCTGTAACTAGAAATTAGAAAAAAATATACACAAAGAAAGTGAAGGGAAGCAATTACATTTATAAATGATATTTGTTACAGACTGAACTCGATTAGGGTACCATTAAAAAATAGGGAATACTGGCGAGCTACTCTTTTTCTGGTACTGAACAATGCGTATCAAGAATACTTCAGTAAGTATCCACCGGTCTCCATGTTCAAGCTTCATTCATTTTAGAGTTATAGCTGAATCATCATTAGCCTCTCACTGTCTCGCTTTGATATGTTTGTCAACTAAACCAATATTTCACAACTTCAATACATTGGATGACACTAATTCTATGCTCATACTCCCTGACTCATTAACGAGAGTGGAAAGTCCAGTTTCATAATTCACATGTGCGTACTTTGTTTAGTGAAAACGCCACTCAATATTCATAGACATGAGAGACAAGTATATAGACACATACATACTATCATACACTCACGCTTAATGTCATACAGAATGATTAATAATGTACGTGTGTAACACTTAGTAGCTACAATTTTGTTCCACATAAGTTACGTTAAGGGATTGCACATACTCAACCGTTAAACACCACAAATAATATACTAACACTACAATGTAATTATTTGTTTCAACACATAAAGATTGGCACAAGGAGGCACATAAATCGCTCGATGTATATGAAGGCTGGGGTACTGTTCAAGTGCCCAAACCGAAGAAAGTGGTTTTCTTAACGAGACCACACCCGGAATCTTTGACCTTTACGTCTAATTCATAAGGCAGCGGAGCAACGTCACGAGATGCAGTCCCATAGTAGCCAGTAACCAACAATAGGTTCCTTCAGGATTCTGGAGTCCATGTGCACAATTAGTATGGAATGAGGGTCCTTTAACTTACCTGACATGGACTCTCCGTGTCCACCAACTCGGTTTAAGCCCCTTCTGGACATTCGCTTTTCGTCGTGTCAGTTTCGTAAATAACACCCGTGGTGCGAGAATGCAGTGAGTAGGACTTCACTGGTAGTGGTTGTATACACATGTCCATGTGAGAGTATTTGTAGATGAAGATCTGACTCTTCTCACTCTCGGCCGCACCAGGGCTCTTAGGGGTCTACAGTGTCAAATCATCAATGATCATGCAATAATATTACTTGAAGATACTCTATTTTACAGACGGACATCAGTTATAGATCTAGTAAAAAGCAAACAGAATTGACTAGTTATTTTGTCGTACGTCATTCATCATTACTGAATAGTACTTGTTCATCATATAAAAAAGAAGCATAATATTGAAAAGTTTTCTTACTTGGAATAAATACATGATCTATATCACAATTATCTTGTATTATTTGTCTAATATTAATCATAGCATAACCAATTTCTTCACATTCAGCTGATTGTGTTGTTGATGTAGATGGTTCACTAACAATAATAAATATTAAATTACCATTGTTTGGATCTTCTGGTAATAAATAACTTGCTAAATATTGTCTACGTTCATAATTCTTTGTAAAATCAACTGGAAATGCTATAATGTAGAAAAAAATGGAGAATATGGTAAGGTTGTGAACCCCTGTCCCCTAACCCACCGCCTACTCTCGGTAGATAGATATGAAGAATTTATTTACTTCAGAGATAGTCTTTTGTCTTCACATTGATCTTAGCAAAAATCAAAGCCTGGAAACTATCCTATCACACTTAGCCAAGTACTAACAATATACAACCTAAGATAATATGTATTGTTTCGAATTGTACACATTAAGTGTGTAGCACGCTAATATTCTTACTCTTATTTAGTTCACATCTCATTCACAGTTCTAGTTGTGTAGTATTAGGATTATCAGTATTCAATAAAAGTGAAATATCCATCAGCAGCAGCTTACTGTAGGAGAGAACAAACCAGATTTCAAATGAAAAGGAAATTAGGAAAAGATAATGGAAGTGGATAGGATATACGTTACAGGAATCATCAAACTGCATCACGAAACAAACGCTAACTTGAAATATTGGAAGGTCGAAGAACCCATTACGTCGTGAAATAGAAGTCGATATGAAAAGGATGAATAAAAACTGTAAAAGAATTGCCCAGGACAGGGATCGGATGAAGAGCTCGGGTGGGTGACCTATTCTCCTCCACGAGGAGTAACAGGCATAAATAAGTAATCTAAACATTTTAATCATTCTTCCGTTCATTTCATGTGTCAATGTTGAATATAGAAATGTGATTTTCACTAAGGACTTTCACTTAAACTAAATCTATCTACATATGTCTTCTGTGAACACTACTTTAATGTATACCATATTATCATATATCATCGTATATGCTGCAATATAACTAGTGACTTGACATAATTCAATTTAAAATGGTTTAGATGCAAGTAATTTCGGTTGACACAATGCCCGTCCTGGATTACACTGTTAGTCATATTTCATTTGTTCTTTATCGAATGACCAGATAAAAGCTCAACAAAAGATGTTTATATTTCAGAACAATCTACACTGAACTGATCAAGATTACTCGTCCTCTATGGAACATTTTACACAATCGAAATCACGAGTTGATGTAAGCTAGAACATCATTAAAAACTTGGAAGCACCAGACTATCATTTCTTCTCAGTATACAACTCTTCAATAGTACGGGACTCGGACCTATAACCTTCGGCCTCGTTCACGAACGCTTAACATCTAGAACACTGAACCAATGTCCAACGATTTGAATGCCTAAATCCAATTAATCCATGATCTTGAGCAACCCATCATTTATTACCTGTGGTGGATAACTGTTTCACAAGCGATACGGCTTGCATTCGACTAGTCATGATTTCTCACTAAAAATTCAAAAGTTACATCTTCAAGCTAGTCACCAGTGAGTGTTCACGTACGAGACCCAAGGTCTTAGGCTTAGAATTCTTGATCGTGGATTCATACAACTGAAGA